GTCTTCTTCGGTTGCAATCAAGGTCGTGGCTGCAACTGAAGGAAGTTCGCCAGAGTGCGGCAAGAACAACATAATTAGCGCATTTCCTTCGAGCCACTGACAGTGGCAGCACCAGCACCAGCACCAGCACCAGCAGCTGCAGCCGTAACAGGAGCATCATCCGTGTCTGAGGAGCGTGCAACGCCTGGCTCCCCCGTTCTCGCCACTTAAGAGTGTCTGGCACTTCAAACACGCACTGCTCCCAGGGCAGGGCATGGCATGATAACGTGACATTGAAACAATGCCGGATTCAGCGTCGGAGATGGCAGCGTGAGACAATCTGCGCAGAGTGCATTTTCGATTCGTTGCAAGCATCGTTTGTGTGGCCTTTCAAAGTGCCATCGCTAGGGCCTGGCTCTTGTCATATGTAAGCTGTTCCCTTTCTCCTGTTCCCCCTGGTTATTATAATTAAGTTTTGTTTGCCACCGCTGAAGCGTAACACTCACTGGAGATGCGCCAGGCATTGCCATGGGAGCCACCGCCAGCTGCTGTGTGTCTGACAATTTACAGCTCGATTAACTCTCACAATTTGAGACGCTCGTCCGACTCAGATTTCAAGTCAAGACGGAAACGAAATGAAAGGGAAAAAAACCACCAGAAGAAGGAAAGGATGCAGAGGGAGAGGGAGAGACTGATAGGACATCGGGTCACCTGGTTAATCGCACGACTGGCAGCGGGGCAACAGGGCAGCGGGGCAGCGGAGATCTACATCAATTTGGGGCAAAGTGGACAGCGGCAGGACACGGACCCCGCCCACCGCTTCAGATGGTAGATGGATGATGATGGGTCGACAAATTGAAAAGAGTTTGGGACTCGAGAGTCTCCTCGAGGCAATTGAGAAATGCAATAATGGATGAGAGAGAGAGAGAGAGAGAGGGAAGGGAAATTCGAGAAGAAACCGCTAATTGAGCAAAGCAATTTATTTTTACAACGCCCCTCTGGACATTCGGCACCCAGCCACCCACCGCCCAGTCACAGACTACTCGAAAGCACCCAGAAGAGACCCAGCAGGAGGCAGGGGAGATGGCAGCTGGGAGCTGCAGGATACTCAAGTGCTTTGGTTTGGCTTTCGGAGAGTCCTGGAATGTTTGGCAAATATTGATGCAAGCAATTTGTTTAAGCTAAATAAGTTTAGCTCTTGGCATTTGGGGTGTAATCGATATTTAAACGATTCGTAGCCGTTTCGTAACCGTTTCGCAATGAAAAGTTTTCAAATTTTAACCGTTTCCATAGCGCTTCGAATTCCATTTCTGGCCATCTCCTTTTTAGTTTGCCTCCCCAGCATATTTGATATACATTTTCCAACTAACCGTTTCATAACCGCTTAAACAGACTCGCCGTGTCGAGTCCCAAAACATTTTCCATATATTTTTGTTAGCATTTCCTTTGGGGATCCTCTTGCCGTTTTGGTGTAACCGTTTCGAAGACGCCTTAAGCCCGCTCTCCCGTTTGTTTCCTTCGCTGCTTATTTCGCTTTTCCAATCACTTAGCTGCTGTTGCAAGTTGCCAGTTTTCGCACACACACTCGATAGATTTCAAATTGTGATTCGCGTTAACCCAATTTACAAAACGCAGCTTCCACTTTAATCGAACGCAGCTGGACCCCCGTGGTACCCCTTGATTGCCCTGATTTGCGATTTCGAGGCTCCACGGACTGGAATACCCTTCTTGCCTTCTTGCTTGACTGCCGCCCCCCATCAAAGCAAATTGCAATTGCCTTTGGATTTATAAACAATTTCACCAATGGGAACAGTGGGGAGCATCGGGAATACGAGCGGGTGGGAAGT